GCTGAAGCTCGCCCACGCTAGTCGTTCATGTTTTGCCCCCTTGTAATGGCTACTGATATGTATGTTGCTGCTGACTTTGGCCGGTGGTTCAGTGCCGTGGCTACACTGGATCAGCCCTCAGAGACGCTAGTCGTCTACTCCTATGAGAAGCCATAGGGAGCTCAACATGCGGGGGCAACTCTACTAACTGTAGGTCGCCAACTTGCATAGGAGCCTTGAAAGGCTCGACCCGCAAGGGCGCTTACACAGTCCGTAGACCACTGACTCCCACAGGAGACGCGAAGGGCTCAACCTGTAGGGGAGACCTCGCGAAGAGGGATGACGAGGCTCATCCGGGCTGAATTGAGGTTGACAAAGCTGTTCAGTCTGTTGCCCATCAACTCCCATGGGAACTACGAAGGGCTCGACCTGCGGGGGTGGCCTTACTCCGAGGTGCTTGTTGCCAAATTGCTAGTCATTGAGGTCATTCTGTTGCTGATTATTCTGTGGTAGCATGAATGCACCAAAATTCTCCTCCCATGCCCACATCTGGAGATTCATACTTCAGCTCATAAAACTGCCTCACTTCAATCCCGATGGGAATCGCTGATGGCTCTACCATGGGGAGAGGGGCGTTCTCATGAGGTTGCGAGGTATTTGTCTGGGGTAGTCGAAGTGTTGGGTTCAACACGGTCGCTACTCTAGGAAGTGCTAGGGGCACTGAACTTACTTGATTGTCATGAAGTGGTTCCCAAGGTTCATCACGGATGCTCTTGCCCCCCAGTAACTGATACTTTGTTCTTGATGTTAGTGCTGCTCAAAAATATCATTGAGTTATAAAAGTGAAAACCAAAAGGTGAGAACTTAGCAAACTAGAAGGTGAGAACTTAGCTTTTTGTTGCATTCCCACAGATGGTGCCAATTGTTGCGTTCCCACAAAAGGTGAGAACTTAGCTTTCAGTAGCTCCCTGGCTGGCAGGGGACTTGGATGCCTAGTTGAACGGTTCCTACCTAGAAGATGGTCAGATGCCTGGCTGAATAGTTCCTACCTAGAAGGTGGTCGGATGCCTAGCTGAACAGTTCCTACTTGGAAGGTGGCGAGTTGCATGCTTATTGGGGAGACCTAAAAGAAAACAGTGTAAGAGTGCTCGGGCTTCTCTACCCGGGGCGGGCACTCCAATGCTTAAGTTAGCGAATGCGGAGATTTTTCGAGAGGGCTGAAAGTAAGAGATCTAGAGAGCTACGCTTCGCATCTCCCTTGTGAGGTTGGAGGTGAGGCCTTTATATAGGTATTGTTTGGCGTATGCTTCATGCATCACGTCCGAGATCTCCGGGAGGTCGTGCCTAACTGGCCTGAAGTCCTCGAAGGTATTCGTGCACGTAGACCAGTCTTCACACCTTGCTCGGTCTCCTCCGGAACATTTGGTATGGGGGCCAACTTTCGAGAGACCCGAGAGTGACGTGTCATACATGCAGAATTGGTCAATGAGCATGTCTCACAAGTCACCACATGGACCTTAATCAGGTTGGTAAGCCCTCGAGGGAGGTCACTCCTCACGTCGAGGTCACTTCAGTTGGTGACGAGGTGCTACAGGTCGGCCCTGGTCAATGTGCTGCTAGCCGCCCTAAGTTGTGGCCGAGGTCGCTAGGTCGGTAGAGGAGGCAGGTCGCTAGGTCGGCGGTAGAGGTAGGTCACCAGGTCGATGGCGAAGATGAATCACCATCTGGAATTCCATCACTTTGGCTAGGGCAAGTCATCGCCTAGGTGGTGCCTGGGTGTCATCCAGCTGTTCTGAGATGCCATGTGCCATGATGTCACTAAAGGGTTAAATCCGCCCTCATCACCCACCATCATGTCAAATTCAAAAATAATTTAGGAAAAACCAAAAAAGAGTATAGTAAAAAAGAAAAAAAAAGCCTTCCCCCGCCGAAGTGTTTCTTTAGTTTAGAGTAGTAATGGTAGTTTGGTTGTTGTTGTTGATGTTATAACTTGTAACTTGAATCTCATTGTCTCCTCTTGTTCTTGCTCCCCAACAACAATGCAAAGTAAAATAGAATCCTAAAGAAGAAGCACCGTGTAAAGGTCACAAACGAGCTCCCTATCCAAAAATCTCAAGAGGAAGGTCATGAACGAGCTCCCAACCCAGAACGTCCTAGCATAACCAGTGGGATCAAAGATCATCATGTAAAGCATTAGAGATGGACACAAAGCCAGAGATGTAGATGGAGCAGCGATCTTCTTCCTCATCTTCTTGAAATTTTTCATTAGCTGGGTTTTATTTTGAAAATTTGAGGAATAGTGGACGGAAAATTCGATATTTCGTCCTTCTCCACTAGTACTTACCGGCGACAACAATTGTTAGAAACCTTGAGGGTACTTCAAGATAATATGTAAATACTAATTAAGGGTAGAGTTAGGGGCCGTTTGCCTAGTCTTTTTTGAAAGATCTTCTGGAAGCTCTGACAATCTAAAGACTATGTGAGCTTTTGCATCAAGATCTTAACAGCTTGAAGACCGTTTGGTTAAGGTGCATCTTTTTGCACGAAGATGAGTTGAAAAAAGGCAAAAAACTCAATTTGGAGCTTCCTGAAAATAGCCTGAAATGGGCTTCCCGCATCTTTTCGAGGACGAGAAAAGACCAAAACACGGTCTGCCGAGCTTCTAAAAAGTTGACAGCCGGCGCAAAAAGACACACCATACGGGGCCTTAGTCAATTTCTTAAACCATATGTATAGGATAACAATTTTGAAATCAGACCTTCAAGGAAAAAGAAATCAAATGATGCTTATGATTACGAAACAAGGAGACTTGGAAATCAATCTAAAAAAAAGAGTGACTTGAAATTCAGACCGACACCAAAAACAATATAAGAATGAGGGTAAGAAAAAAAATATAAAAAAGTGTGACTAACAAGAACTATTTGTATTAATGATAGAAATAGAATACAAATTTCAAAATTTAAAAATACACTGAAAATGAAAATGTTTGTCTATTTAAGTGGCAAGTTAGTGATTCAACAATTCAGGTCAAATAGATCAACTTACGATATCAAAATTAAATAGAAAAATTAAAAAAATTGATAAAAATAAAAATTCAAAAACTTATTTGATATTATATGTTCATCATATTAAACAAAAATAAGTGTGATAAATAAGAATTATTTTTATTAATGATGGAGATGAAATATAAAACTTAAAACTTAATAAAATCAAGCATTTCTTTTTCATCCAATTTGTAGGTTAATGTTTCAATCGTCTAAGTTAAATGGATCTATCCATGATGTCATAATTCAAAAGTGAGCATTTAAAAAATAGATGAAATAAAAAATGTTATTCAAAATATAAAAAATTTGTAAAAATAATTTGGTGCATTTCTATTATTTTATATTCATCATAATAAACAAAAAGTGTGATAAATAAGAAATGCTTTTATTAGTTATAATTAAAAATAGAGTATAAAAAATGGATCAAAGCCTTTTTAGTGTTTGGCAATCTGTTATCCTAGGCTAAAGGCTTTTCTTTTGCTTTTCTTGTATACGTCTTGTATACCATCTTCTCATTAAATTATACTTTTCCTTTTTTCAAAAAAATAGGAGTATAAAATATAATAAAAAAAGACAGCTATTGTCTAAACTATGATCCTACAAATTGAGCCAAATGCTTAAATTGGCTAGGTCACCATCTTCTCATATTTGTACGTTGTCATTGATGGGGAGATGTTTCCAATATACTGTTGTAATGTACTATGGGTAGGGTTTGGATAATATCTTTTGGCTAGCAAATGTGGCCTCATAATGTTATTTGAGTTAAGTCTTTTTTTATTGCGCAAGCAGCTTGATGGGGAAATGAACTTGTAGCGGCTGGAGTGGACAAGGGGTGTAAGGGGTCTACCTTTTTTTTGCCAAAAATTATGAAAAAGAAAAAAAGAGAAAAAAATAAAAGTAGAAAAAAAGGAAAAAAAGGAAGAGGAAAAGGAATCTTTCAGAAGCATTTCTACAGAGAAAGAAGTTTTGATTTAAAAACAGCTAAGGCTGCGTTTAGAAAAGATGCATATAAGTGTAAATGCAAATATATATAGTGTAAAATGGTTCATATAAATTGCAAATTGGGTTAGTTTTGCACTGGCAAATTTATCTTTTTACCAAACAGACTTTTAGTTGTAATGAATGCAAACATGAATTCCAATAAAATATATATATATATTTTTTTATCAAAAACCCACTTGAATGCAAATTTACTTCTTTTTTATTGATGTAATTTTACATCTTACTATTAATGTAAATATGCATTAATCTATCATTTGTCAATRCATAAATGTGATATTGCCAAACACAGGTAAAAGTGAACCAGAATACAAATTTATCTTAAACCAGGATTTACACTCCATTTGCATCGTTTTCAAAGGCAGCCTAAATGACTCCAAACTATATCATCATGTGAGAACAACCTTTTTGAATTATTGTAATTTGTAATTATTTTTTGTGGATATTATTACTTTGAATCATTGTCCTTGAGTGTCCCTCGTTAGAAGCAGTAGCCAACTATATCAAAAGCTATTTTGAAAGCATTTATAATTGATAGCACCGTTTGATAAATATATATAGTTGAAATGGTGGCACATATGTGACATATGGCACAAGGTTGATCAGTTCTTCAAATTTTCACTGATTTAATTTTGTGTCTAAGTTTAAAAAGAGTATAAATACAAATATATAAAGTATAAATTATAAGATTTTGCAAACTACATATTTGTATTTATACTCCTTCCAAACTAAACCTTTATTTCACATATTCATAAATTAAGAAATGATACCAAAGAACGAGAGCGTGCAACTCTCGAATTCTTCGCCCTACAAATTTCCACTTGGTCCCACTTATATAATTGCATAGACTCATTGTGTACTCGCATTTATTAAGCGAGCCTTATCTTAGAATCGCCTTATCCTCTATAAACCTTATCCTTATCTCTTGTATGTTTTAGTTGTTCTTGATTTTGTTTTTCATTGTTTTTTTTAGGAGACTGTAATTACATTCCTAGTGGTGAGCCGAACTCTGCTCTGTATATAAATTCCCAGCGATCGTTTGCTGGAACAGGGATAGAAAGAAAACTTTTCCTTCAACTATAGTTTCTCATGGTATCAGAGCGGCACTCATCCACGTCTGCACATTGCTCATCTGGAATTTGAACGTCTCCTACGAGTTGATGTGCCGCATCTCGTTGATCGAACAGCGCATCTGGTCGACCGCATCTCCGAAGGTGGTGAAGCAGTCCTGCAGCACGGCCGCGGCTCCCTGGTCGGTGCCGGTTTCGGCTTCGCGCGAGAGGTTTGACAGGTAGGCGGCTGTGCGGTGGGCGTTGGAGAGGCTGACGGCGATGGCTAGGCACACCAGCTGGCCGGGGTCCTGTTGGACGGCGCTGCCGTAGCGGGAGAGCGAGGTGTAGTAGACGTCAGGATATAATGTTGTGCTGCAGCTTGAGCGGATGAAATCGGTGCCATTGCTGCTTGGATCAGTCAGATCGACGGCTGAGATTCCTAGGAGGAGGAAAAAAGCTATCGCGAGCAGAGGGGAGAGAAGGCGAAGGAGAGGAGTTGTCGCTGCCATTCCTTCCCGGTTTGGAGTTTCAAGGAGTTCGACCATCTTTGCCACCACTGGCACAAAGAGAGCCATCGGGCGAAACTGCAACAATGTTCACGTAACCTCCGTGACCGGTCAACATGCAGCACAATTTGCAATTGCATCCTGAATTGTGTACTTGCATTCTCCAAGTGTATTCTAAAGCTTGATAGTGCGGTCTCGAGGAGCAGAGACGATCTGGCGGTTGTCGATAGAGAAGGCAATGGAGAGGACATCCTTGGTGTGACCAACGAAGCGGGGAGTGGTAATGCCGGTATTAAGGTCCCAGAGACGGAGCTCGCTGTCCCAAGAGCCGGAGAGAGCGAACTGACCGTCGGTGGAGAGCACGACATCCTCCACGAAGTGAGAATGACCGGTGAGACGGCGGCGGGGGACACCATATGTTCTCTCTTCTTTGGTAAGATGCCAGACAAGGACGGACTTGTCACGGGAAGAAGAAACGATCATGTCAGAATTATCGATAGGAGTGGCGATGGCGGTCGTGGACGTGGAGGAGTACAGAGAGCAAATGCTGCGCAAGCGGTAGGGCAAACTTCTGAACCAATCCACGCAACAGAAGGAGATCGTACAACGTTCGGTGGATTGACTAATGAACAGTGGTCCATTTTTCTTAATCTCTTGAATTCTTGCAAACCCAGCACAAGTGAGAAGGTGACAGGTATGAATTGGATAATTGATACAGGAGCCTCACACCATATGACCAAGAACTTGAATCGCTTGCATGATACTGAGACCGTGACTGGTTGTCAGGTTGGATTGCCCGATGGAAAGCATGTCATGGCAATAAAGAAAGGGACCGTCATTTTAAATAAACACATGAAGCTTACTAATGTGCTTTATGTTCCTCGGTTGAATTGTAACCTGATATCTGTGTCGCAATTATTAGAGGAATCGAATTATAATATCCAATTCACTAATAAGTTGTGTTATACATGACTGCACTTCGAGGATGGTGATTGGTGCGGGTGAACTACGTGGAGGGCTCTACTGCTTCAAAGGTGCGTACTCAAGCAAGGTTCATAAAGCAGAAGTCGAAGCTTCACACGAGTTATGGCATAAGAGAATGGGTCATCCCTCCGAGAAAGTAATTAAGCTTTTTCCTGATGTGAACATTAGATGTGGTGGTGGAAATAGGATTTGTGGTGTTTGTTCAAAAGCCAAACAGACAAGAGGTACGTTTGATTCTAGTGAAAATAATGCTAAAGGGATTTCCGATTTGATTCATTGTGATTTATGGGGTCCGTACTCTGTACGAGCGTCTTGTGGTGCCTTGTACTTTTTGACTATTGTTGATGATTTCTCACGAGCTGTTTGGATTTTCTTACTTAATGACAAAAGTGAAGTGGGCAAAATGCTGCGGAACTTTTTCACTATGGTTAAACGCCAATATGAAAAGTTGGTAAAGATAGTTAGAAGTGATAATGGTACTGAATTTACTTGCTTGAAGGAATATTTTTCTGAGCAAGGTATAATACATCAGACCTCATGTGTTGAAACACCGCAACAAAATGAACGTGTCGAGAGAAAGAATAGACATATACTGAATGTTGCCAGAGCCCTTAGATTTCAGGCTAATCTCCCTATTGAGTTTTGGGGAGAGTGTGTTATGAYGRCTGGTTATCTGATCAACAGGACCCCCTCCACTCTCCTTTTGGGAAAAACACCGTATGAGATGTTGTATGGGTAGAAACCAAGCTACAAACATATACGGACGTTTGGGTGTTTGTGTTATGCGCGAAGCCTAAATCGTACCAGGGATAAGTTTGCTAGTAGAACCACACGTTGTCTTTGTTGGATACCCCTTTGGCAAGAAGGGGTGGAGAGTTTATGACTTAGAAAACAATGAATATTTTGTTTCCAAGGATGTGGTGTTTTCAGAAACTGAGTTTCCCTATGCTATTGAAGAAAAACAAGTTGAACACGGACACAATGATGGTAATCTTGATTATAACCAGGTGGAGACTGAAGTGTATGACGATGAAGATAATGAAAGTAAAAGAGATAGTACTTGTGAGGTCATAAGAGAGGGAGAACAAAGCGACAGGTGTGAAAATAATGAAGGGGAGCATGATGTAAGGGGGGTTCTGTGGAAGAAACGAATGCAGGGAATGAGCAACTTGAACGAGGCCATAGAGTGAAGCATCCTTCCAGTCGTCTCAAGGACTACGTCATACACACCACATGGTGTTCCAATCACAGTCTGAGCCCCTTTGCCAGTTCACCTCGCCGATCTCACTCCTCAGGTACTCCCTATCCTATAACACAATATGTGAATTGTGATAAATTTTCTTTGCGACACTGCTCTTTCTTAGCAGCTGTCACAGCTAGTCATGAGCCCCAGAGTTATTCAGAGGCTGTCAAGGACTCTCGTTGGAGAGAAGCAATGAGAAAGGAAATTGAAGCTTTAGAAAACAATAGAACCTGGACAGTGGAGAACTTGCCGCTAGGGAAGAAGGCTCTCGAAAGTAAATGGGTCTACAAGATAAAGTACAACTCAGATGGCACAATAGAATGGTACAAGGCGCGTTTGGTGATCTTTGAAAACAAACAGGTTAAAGGGATTGACTACAATGAAACGTTTGCACCTGTGGCAAAGATGGTTATAGTTTAGACATTCCTTGCAGTTGTTGCGACAAGAAACTGGAAGCTGCATCAGATGGATGTGCAGAATGCATTTCTCCATGGAGATCTGCAAGAAGAAGTGTATATGAAGATGCCTCCTGGATTTGCTTCAAGACTACCTGGAAAGGTGTGCAAGCTGCATAAGTCGCTTTATGGTTTGAAACAGGCCCATCGTTGTTGGTTTGCTAAACTCACGACAACCTTGAAACAGTATGGCTTTACCCAGTCACAATCTGATTACTCATTGTTTACGCTTCGACGGAAGCACGAACAATTAAATATTTTGGTTTACGTGGACGATCTTGTCATCTCTGGAAATAACGGCAATGCCATTTGGAGATTCAAGAAGTATCTCAGCCAATGCTTCCACATGAAGGACTTGGGAACTATGAAATATTTTTTAGGAGTGGAGGTCACCAGAAGCTAGAAAGTTATTTTTCTTTGTCAGCGGAAGTATGCGTTGGATATCATATAAGAAACTGGTTTGTTAGGCGCTAAGCCAGCTGGACTTCCCCTAGAACAAAATCATAAACTAGCTCTGGTAGATGGTCCTCTGATGATAAAGCCAAAGAGTTACAGAAGGCTAGTGGGTCATTTAATTTACTTGACCATTACCCGTCCTGAATTGTCCTATTGTGTTCATGTGCTCGCTCAATTTATGCAGAACCCCCATGAAGAACACTGGAAGGCGGCTTTGCGTGTGGTGCGATATTTGAAAGGTGACCCGGGATAGGGAATTTTCCTTCCAGCTGATAGTTATCTTCGATTGTATGCCTACTGTGACTCTGACTGGGCCGGGTGTCCACTGACACGACGCTCTCTCACAGGATACTTTGTTTTATTGGGCCGAACACCTATATCGTGGAAGACAGAAGCAACTTACAGTGTCCAGATCATCAGCTGAGGTGGAATACAGGTCTATGGCAACAACTGCATGTGAGTTGAAATGGTTAAAAGGGTTGTTGCATTCATTAGGAGTTGATCATCCTGACCCTATGTGATTATACTGTGATAGTCAAGCAGCCTTGCATATCGCTGCGAATCTGGTCTTCCATGAGAGGACTAAACACATTGAAGTAGACTATCACTTTGTCCACAGTGAAATCCAGAATGGGAATATACGGCCTTCCTACGTCCGGACTTCAGAGCAACTTGCCGATATGTTTACAAAGGCCCTGGGCAGGCAATAATTCGAACATCTTCTTGCCAAGTTGGGCATTTCCCATTTACATGCTCCAACTTGAGGGGGGGTATTAAGCGAGCCTTATCTTAGAATCGCCTTATCCTCTGTAAACCTTATCCTTATCTCTTGTATGTTTTAGTTGTTCTTGATTTTGTTTTTCATTATTCTTTTAGGAAACTGTAATTACATTTCTAGTGGTGAGCCGAACTCTGCTCTGTATATAAATTCCCAGCGATCGTTTGCTGGAATATGGAAAGAAAACTTTTCCTTCGACTGTAGTTTTTCAGCATTCCTCTCATACATCATATTCCAACCAAAATGTAATATTTAATTTGTGTTTCTTCTATACGCAAAATTGATTTCGTTCTCAATTGATATTGAAACTTCAAGCTTTCATAGCATTTGGATAAAGATGATTTGGTGAAGAAAAGAAGGGATATTCGCATTTTGTTCACATATGCTGATTCCATACTTTACCTTGTTTATATTCGGTTTTCTTTTTTTATTTTTGGAATGTTCTAATTTGGTTGGTATATTCTTATTAGGTCCTTTTCCTTTTAACAGATAAGCCCACGTCTGACCACTGATTTCTTTATACAAGGCTTTTCAACCTCAAACTTTATCTTGGCCCACCGTTTCTCAGGTCAAAATCTCCATCTCTCAATCTCTTGTGGGATTTCAGCAAGAATGTATCGAGGCATGCAAAAATCCAGTGACCTTGGATTCCAGTGGTCTCAGCTATTTTGGAGTATAGGAACTGTAGCCTCCCACAGAATTGGTTCTTTTGTATTGCATATATTTTATTAATTTAATTAAGAAGGAACTCATCTACATGAACAAACTAAGGGGGCGTTTTAAAGAATGAATATTTTTGTTTTCATTTGTTTTTTGGAATTTTTACATCAGAAAAAAAACAAAAAAAAATGTTCTTGAGCTCTTTTTATTTTCAAAGAGAAAAACAAGTTGGTCCTCTTTTAAATACATGTTTTTGGAATCAAGAAAATATTGTTTTTTAAAACAAAAAACAAACTTTCTAGTATAAAAATTATATGCTTTATGGAACATGATTCTGAATAATCAAATGTTTTTGGTTTAAAAACATGTTTTTGGTGTCATTACTTTTGAAAACAAAAAACACATACATAACCAAGACATGTTAATTTCTTGTGTTTTTATTTTAAGAATCAATCTGTTTTCAACTAAGATGGTTTTGATTTGTTTTTGGAACTAGCAACAAGAAAAACAATCTATGTTGTAGAATGCCCCCTAAAGTAATCCAATTAATTCATCATCACCTTCCATGTCTTATCCCAATTATATGGGGTCAGGTACATGAATCCTGTTTCGTCGATTCGTTTTATTTAAAGCCATATCCACCGTTAAATTATTAGTGCTTAAACTATTTTTTACTAATTATATACCCATGTCCTTATTGGTCTACCCTGAGTTCTTGTAGCCCCGTAAATGTGTAACAAATCACTTTTATCTGGTGTAGTCGGTGGTATTCTATGCACCTAGGTACCCAAACTATCACACTACTCTTTCTCATTTTATCACCTATTGGAGCAATTCCTAAGTTCTTATGAACATATTGTTTATTCTTGACTGCCCAAACACTAGCTCCACACAAAATGGCCTTACAATTATTTTATAGAATTTTCCTTTTAATCTAAGTGGTATACATTCACCTGATACATAAAACCCTATATGCACCCCTTCATTTACTTTGCCCATCCTATTCTAATTATTTGGATGGCATCCTCTTCAATCCCACTCTTATTATGAAGTATTAAAAGCCATAAATTAATTGCCAAGAACCACAAGGATGGAGACAGTAGTTTATATGTTTAAATGGCTGAGCTGTAGAGAGGTAGTTAACACTGCTTCATCTCTGGCTTCTACAACACACAGACATGGAAGGATCGACCAAAGGTCATAGAGACAAGACAAAGGTTGACATGGATGATGGATCCCACCGTGTCTGCAGTGATTAGAATTTGATGCATGGGAATTGTTGTGAGTACAAACTTAGTTGAAAATTGGCCTGAGAAGTTCAATGTTGTGTGCTACAAGCCTATGGATATCCCAAAGTAGCTAGTTACAACTTGCAGAGAAGGATTACAACCCAGAATCAACTAATCATCTCTCTCATTGTTGCGCCAAAGATAAAGTTCTTCTGGCCCACCAACACATGGATCTATTCTACCGAATACCCACTGTCTTTTTCTTCTTCTATACCATAAATAAGAAAAGATAAGATTCCTATCTTCGACAGCGGCACAGCGGCCGTTTGATAACAGTTAAAGTGGCTGAACTGAATTACTTACTGCTTTTTGTCTATTAGTGAAGAAGATATTCAGCTACGTACTTTCAGGCGTAGTAAAAGGACTCCAAGTTCCATTTGAGAAGGAAAAGGTTTGATGAACAAAGCCAAGATAACATTTTGAAGAGATCCCACCTCCATACATCTTCTCTTGAAAGCAATCGATCGATCGTCCTAACAGGTGGACCTAGGGAAGATAATAACCTCCACAGCCCACTTCCTGTGTATTCCCTCATCAACAGCTCCCTGTCCAAATCACTTTGTGGCTTTGTGCCTCAGATCACACTATTCGCGTGGATTCAACTTTCTGTGCCATTAATAAAATAACAAACTTCTTTTCCTTTATAATTGCTACGAGTTTTTATTTTTGTCTTCCTTTGATTTAATTTCTTCCCATTGTTTGGACGGCCAGAAATGAATATAATATGTTGCACATGGGTGTCCAGGTGTCCTCCTATATATAGGCTGTTGATGAACAAACCATGGGTGCGACCTGTTGCTTCACGTCAAGTAGTAGCTATAAATGAAGCACCCATCTTGCATTTCAAAGTTCAAACTGAGCTCTCTCTCTCTCTGGCTCATCTCTTCTTTGTTTTCACAGGTTCCTTGACCCTTGTAGTTAGTTATGGCTGCTGGTTTGTCATACAAATTCAAAGCTCAGTGCCTTATCTTCACAGTTATTCTGGGCTTAAGTTTCTTCTCCACGCTCGCCGAGCTTCAGCGATTTGAGCACCCAACGAACGCAGATGGATCACTTAACTTTCTCGTCGTCGGAGATTGGGGCAGAAAAGGAGCTTACAATCAATCTAAAGTTGCTCATCAGGTCCTTGAATTTTCTTTCTTTACACCAATTTCTTGGCTTGCTTGCATCTTCTTCCTTCTTTCTTGGCCTTCACTTTCGCATAATTTTTAAGTAGTTGTCTATTTGAGCAAGTAACCATTTCTGTGGAATATGCTTTCTAGCATCTATGGATTATTCCATGGTAACATATCCAGTCGTCCTTACTCTCATTATTGAATGGTCTGATTGATGTACGTAGAAGTAGAACCAATCAAAAGTCAACACAATCACAGCATCAAAGATAAGAATATAAAGATTGGCCTGACGTAATAACCGAGTTTTGTGGTTCGACCACTCATCATATCCTACCCTTAATCTCTCCTTCTTTGCGCATTTTTCACGATTTATCATTCCTGAATGTCTCATATATATCTAGTCCCCTACGCACCAACAAAAGGAGAGATTACGATCTTAGCATGCTTGTTTTTCCTTTTCCTGAATGTCTCATATCATGATCAACTCATCTTAGTATGCTTGTTTTTCCTTTTCCTTTTGTTGCTGCTACTTATGGATCTTTTATGTATTAATACAGATGGGAAGGGTTGGAGAAAAGCTTAATATAAATTTCATTATCTCAACTGGGGATAACTTTTACGAGGATGGATTGACAGGCATTGAAGATACGGCATTTGAGGAGTCATTTAGCAAATTATATACCGCTAAAAGCTTGCAAAAGCAATGGTACAATGGTGGGTTCAAATTGTAATAATGGGTACCGAATATATGATTCTAAAAGAGTTTTATTTTCTATCAATTTGAGGGTTTTTTTTTTCTTTTTGTTTTACTTTTGTACAGTTTTGGGCAACCATGACTACAGGGGCGATGTAGTGGCACAACTGAGTCCAATCCTTAAGATGATTGATAGCAGATGGTTGTGCTTGAGATCTTTCATTCTTAATGCTGGTGAGATAATTCTCCTTTTAAATTGACTTCTCTCTATAAGGGTGTTCATGGTCTGGTGTGGTTTAGAGAAGATCTCAGACCAAACCGGTAAATTACGATTTGAGAAATTCTCAATACAAATCAAACCGTTTTGCTGACATGGAAAACCAAACCAGACCAAACTGTGGTGCAGTTTCTAATATGGTTTGAGGAACTTTGGACAATTCTTTGATAATATTGGGCTTAGTCCAATTAAAAATCCCAAATAACACCCCTAAAAAATTGAAACTCAAAACTTTTATTTTATTATTTTATTATTTTATTATAAAATAAAAGAGCTTATTAAATATTTATAATTTTATACATTCAACTTATGGTTTACGGTTTGGTTCAGTTTATAAAGCCCATAAAACCAAACTAAAACCACAAATCAATTTAGCAAAATATGAAACCTAACCAAACTGTTTTCATGTGCTGACCGAATCATGCTACAAATTTGGTTTGGTTCAACTCGGTTTTGCGGTTTGAACCAAACCATGAACACCCCTACTTCTCCCTGATTAACTTGTCATGCTTGAATCAAAACCCAAGAAGCCTAATGAATAAGTTATCCTTTCAACTCCTCTCTTATTGGATAGATTTTGTGGAATTTTTCTTCGTCGACACAACTCCTTTCGTTGATAACTACTTCAATGATCCAAAGGACCATGTCTATGACTGGAGAGGTGTCCTCCCTAGAACGGACTACATCAGAAACCTTGTGAAGGTATAAGATTCTCATCTTCCACCACCATATATGATATGATTGAGACTCTTTTCCATGAGATCACACAAGAACCAGAAATTTAAGAAATGGGTTATCTGCCTGCATTAATTGAATTGATCTGTGAATATATAGGATGTTGATTCAGCATTAAAAGAATCAACTGCAAAGTGGAAGATTGTGGTGGGTCACCACACTATCAGAAGTATAGGTCATCATGGCGACACCCAAGAGCTTGTAGATCAACTTCTTCCAATCCTTGAGGTAATCAAGAGAAGCTAGATTAGAGAGGGTCTGTTATGAGCATTCAGACAGGAGAAGCTGTATTATTAGTAAATCACATGCATTATGAACAACATGCAGGCCAACAATGTCGATCTTTACGTGAACGGGCACGACCATTGCCTGGAGCACATCAGCAGTACTGTGAGGTACGTAATTAGTTCGTTTCAACTGTTTGATTATATTCGTCAACTGCTTCTTGAGAGCAATTAAGTGAAATTGGTTGCGTACTTGGGAGTGCAGTCCAATCCAATTTTTAACCAGTGGAGGCGGTTCGAAAGCTTGGAGAGGTGACATTCACATGGGTCAAGACGGAGTGAAATTCTACTACGACGGGCAAGGTTTCGTGTCTGCAGAAGTGACTGAGACTCATGCCAAGATAGTGTTCTATGATATTTCTGGCAAGGTTCTGCACAAATGGAGTGCGTCCAAGCAGGGCTCTTCTGCAGCCATGTAGAGCTAGGCTCTTATAGCTAGATAAGCAAATAGTTCTGTATTACAATCCTACACTTTGTGAAGAGAAATAGAAGATACTTGCCCAAGTTATGATACTTATAGTATTATGATAGATTAACCTGGCCTTTATGCCTCATGACTTTTTTATCTATAGGAAGACAAAGCAACAAGTCATTCAGTTAGGGGGTGTCGATTGGAATGGACTTGGTCCAATCCGATCCACTCCAATGTGAGTCCATTACAAATGGACTAGGTCCAATCCCATCCAATGAATAGTTTGGACCATTCAATTTGTTCAAATTCATTTTAATTTAGATTGGTTTCAACCCAAACCCGGTCCATTGACACCTATATTCTTATCTTATGTCAATGGACCGGATATTGGCTTAATCCAACCAAATCCAGTATAAATTTATTATGGATGGACCAGTCCAGTCCAATCTAATAAATACTTTGGACTAGATTGGTCCAATCCACTATGTCTTGTTGGTCCATCCAATCCGTCTAAATTGATTTTGGACTGTTACTTACTGTACTTAATTAATTATCAAAATCGGTCCATTGACACCCTTACATTCAGTTACTATTTGAGAAATTAATTATCAAACCACCCTTCAGAAAACAACAGGAAACAGCTACGTACTGTACTTAATTTGGTTACATGCATGTTATATAGGACCGTCAAGTTCTTTTTCTTTTTTTATGTATATGAGGTATCTCTCTATCTCTCTCTCTCCATATATATATATATATATATATATAAAGATAGATAGATAGATAGATAGATAGATATAGATAGATAGATAGATAGATATAGATAGATAGATAGATAGATAGACAGATATGGGCATGTAAGATTCTTGGGTCATCTAAATACCTTCTCTAAACTCTATTAGTTGGGTGAATGGAGAGCGTGAGAGACGTGCATGTAAGATTCTTTGGCTACCTATATGTGGCAATTAGTGGGGACCCGTGCAATGCATAGGAAAATCTGAAAGATTTAATTATTTTATTTACTATTAATTAAAATTAAATTAATAATCAAAATTTGTTGTTAATTAACTAAAAGTATTCAAAGTTATTATTAATATCTAAAATTTCAATAATTGTATTTTCATTTAATGTTGATTTTCAGAAAATAATTTTTCTAAATTTAATATGAAAAAAATATTTTTTAATAAATTTAGTTTTATTAATAATTTATAGTAATTTTAATAATTGTTATTATTTTTAAATGAAATTTTGATTAACTTTAAATAAATAAAAATAATTACAAAAGCTAACATTTTTATTAGTTTCACTAATAATTAAGAATTACATAGGAATGACAACGGGGTGGGTTCAGGGCAGGGCACCCCATCCCAGTCCCAACCCCATTGTCAAGACACTCTACCCCATCCCCACCCCGTCCATCCATTCACAACGTCAAAAGAAAACAGTTGCTTTATCTTATAAATTTATAGATCTAATAGTTGCTTTTGTCATAAATGATTTATTTCTTTATATTAATTATTAAAATATGTAATTATTAAATTACTGTATTTATTTAAAGTACAATAATTTCTAGAAATTATCATATTTTTAGAAATATTGCTAATTTATTGGCTAAAACTAATTAAACGTAATTTTCTAGTAATTAAGTATAAATTTTTGGTAATTCAATGTCATTTTCTACAACTTAGAGCTTAAATTATAACTACTATTAATTACAGTTTAAAAATAATTATTGTTAATTATATTACTATTACAAATTAAAATTCATTATTATTCAGTATTTTTTGCAATAAAATAAAATTAATTTATTTTTTAATTATGTTTAGTATATTAATTAAGCTTTAGGTTTTTCAGAATTTTTGGCTTTTTAGTTAATTTTTGGTGTTTCTTCATTATTATTCAGTCATTTTTGCACATGAATATTTTTCAATAATTTTCAGTATTTTCAACATTTATTTTTGCATATTAGTCACTACAAAATTAATTTGCATTTGCTTTCAGTAAAAATAAATTCAATAACTAAATAAATACCATAGTTAATAAAAAAATACAGCTAATTTTCAATATTTTTCAATAATTTATGGCTTGGGTATTTTTTAATAATTTTTGGTATTTTATAATAATAAAATATTATTAATTATACTTTTTAATTATTTTTTGTAAATACCCTTATTAACTCATAATTTGGTATTTTATCAATTTTAATGAGTTCATTATGCACAATAATGGTATCAACTCATAAAAATTATTAATTAATTAAAAAATGTATTAATACAAACTTATCTAATAATATTATTCAAATTATCAATTAATATTTTTATATCTAAATTTTTTATTTTTAAATAATTGTTGGCATTAATAACGGCTTTGGTTAAAAAATTCCCAATTCAACCAAGTTGGATCAGTTTCACTTTGGCCATTTGTAAACCAACCAAAATCGAACAACCTAACCAGGGATATATATTAATATTTTATATTTTAAATATAATTTTTAATATGAAAAGTGAGAAATTTCCCACATTTCCTAGTCTAAAATGTTTCATTTCATAAATCTAATTATTAAATTTATTTTTTAATAATTACACTATAATTTTAAAATTATATTTAATTTTTAAGTTTAAATCTTTTGAACCGACAAACCTTTTATGAAAACCGACTCAAACCGATACAACTTGAGTGGGTCATCTTTCACAAAAGGTCTATCAATTTCAACTAACCAACTCCCCAACTTGGCCAGGTCAATTTGGTTGGCCAAATAGCCTATGGCTGAATCGAACCAACTCATGAACACTCATAGTTTTAGCTAAATTAATAGTCTTATCTCCGATAAATAACAATAGTTTAATCTCCAATAATTATTGAAAATTTATTACAAAAATACACAATTATTAAAAATATATTGTTAATGATAAAAATGCAATAATTACAAAAATACAATAAGTACTAAAATAAAACTTTAATCTCTAATAAATATTAATTAATCAATAACTTATAACAAAAATACAATAAGTAAAATAAATTAAATTTAAAACATTCAATAATAATAGTTTAATCTCCAATAATTATTTAAAGTTTTCTGTTAAATAACAAAACAAAATAAATCTATACATAACCATTGAAAATGCATTTTTCACAAAAAATAATAATTACTGAAATACAATAAAAATTAATTTTATTATATATACTTATACAATAAATGCAGGTCAAGAGTTTAAAATTATTATTAATAAATATTTATTGTTTGGAAAATTATTATTTCGAATTATTACTTGATATAAGTGAAAATAGTTATTTATAATATTGTGTAAAATTATTAAATTATTATTAATTTCAATATTTTGTTATAATTTTTTTTCTACTTTTTAGATCTTTTGTTAAATTTATTACCTAATTTCTTTATTTTAACTATTTAAAATCTAGTTATGTTAAATATTTTGTTATTTAAAATATTTAGTTATTTAAATACTTAAATAGTATCTAAAATATTTAAATTTTAAAATATTAATTATTTATTGAATTTAATTATCCATAAAGTCATAATTTATTCTATTATTATATAATTTCATTATTAATTTTGTAATATATTAAATTATTATTAATTTCAATATTATGTTATAATTATTTTTCTACTTTGAAGACATTTTTAAATTTATTATATAATTCCGTTATTTTAACTATTTATTTAAAACTATTACGTATTATTAAATATTTGAAAAACATTTAAATTGATAATCTAGAAGAACATAATTTTAATTTTTAATACATAATTTTGTGATATGTTTTGTAAAAATATAAAATTATTCTTTGTGTTTTTGATAAATATTTTAAAGTTATTATATAATTTTGTTAGAATATTTAAATAATTCTTAGATTTTTTAATACAAACTTTCTTTAGATAGATATAGATAAAAAGTAGGGAAGAGGATAAATAGGAATTAAAGATAATTTAAGAGAGAAACTCTCTACTAAATTAGAGATAATTTTGAAGATAAATAGGAATTAGAGATAATTTTGAAGAAAGTGGGGGATAGTGGGTGAGGTAATTTAGGAGAAATTTTAGGAGAATAGATTATTTAGGTTCTGGGAAAGCGCATCTCATTGTGCAACCGTCTCAGGAACCAAATCAAGATGATTGAAATCGATCCTTGTTCTGCCGTGGTGACCCACATCATGGAATCGCAGTTGCAAACCATATAGCAATGTAATATGAAAATTTCAGTATTATAAATTCATAACTAATTCATAACTGTTCGGGTTGCTACTTAACCCAATCCGATATAACCATTTACATCGTCTTCTCTACCCAACAATTAACCATCATAGAACAACTGCTAGCATTCACAGTAAAAAAGAAAAAAAAAAACAATAAAGAGGACTTTTCTAATGTTAAGAACTCCGTAGACTTATTATCCAAAAGATGAACCACTTGGTTTATTTATTTATTTATTTTTATTTGATAATGAACCACCTGGTTTGTTTATTTATTTTTTGGTATTATCCAAATGAACCACTTAATTATATTGGTTTATACAGAGGGTTCCTAGAACCAATGTATGGCGTAAATTAAAAGAAACTTAGGAATGCGAGTGGATCCGATTAAGTGGTAAACCCATATTGACCTGACCCTACCGGGTTATGGTCGGATCAGCCTTAATTGGGTTGCAGGTCATTTGCGGGTTGAGGTTGCTCTTTGCCAAATCCGACCTGTTGACATGGGACACTGTAAATGATTAAATGTAGCCCTTGGTTGAGTATAGGTGTACTACAATTGTAGGGGTGGGTTAGAAAAAACTTTTAGGCCATGTTTGGGAGTGCTTATTTGGGCCATTAAGCACTTATTGGTATTTGGGAAATAAGTGCTTATTTTAAAAATAAGGGTTTATTTTTAAGCCCAAATTTACAGATTTTTTTAAGTGTTTATACAATAAGCACTTATTCAATTTTTTTATTCCAAAATTATTCCTAGTTGAATTTTAAAATACCACTTATAAAATTATCCCTAGTTGATTTTTATAAAAGTACTTTCGTAAAGTACTTTTATGAAAGCACTTTTACGAAAGCACTTTTATAAAAGAACTTTTATGAAAGTACTTTTACG